GATCTGGAGGGCTTGTTATGGGAATAGTCATGGCCTGTTTAACTGCACCTTCAACATAAACTTCACATGGAGTCTGATTGTACAAAATATTGACCGGAAAAGTGCGTCCCGGAATGTGGAAAATTAGTACACTGCAAACATATCAAAAATCAGACTATACTTTTTATTAACTGGAACCAGAAGGAGTTCAGAAGCGATAAAGGAAAAGCTAGTTACCTGCCAAAGAACTTAGAAAATTTCTGAGCATTTAACGTTGCAGATGTAACAATCAGCTTGAAATCCCTGCACTGAGCAACTGCTTTCTTCAATATCCCAAACAATACATGTGTACTCAGTGATCTTTCATGTGCTTCATCCATCACAATAATGCTGCAGTATTTCAAGACTTCACAGTAAATAACATATTGATGTTACAAATATACTGTGAATATAGAATTATCAAACTATCAATTCATCATACCGGTGCTTGTCAAGATCAGAGTCTTCTAAAGTTTCACGAAGAAGTACTCCATCAGTCATGTACTGCAACATTACAAAGGAATAATTCAGCCATCGGGGATAAATAAAGACCAAGTAGCAAATCGAAATATACAATTAATTGACAAATAACTACTTGATAGATGTTAACAATAAACTAATATATATACAAACACGACCAATTCAGTTAACAATACTTTCCAAAGTCAGTTAAGAAAACTCATGAAAACAATACTACATAGAAAAAGAATCAGTGCATCACTGTATATCGACAATTAACAAACTATCATCACCTCCAACAAGGTATCGCTTGAGAAATGCTACGGAGGTCCCGAACATGTTTGACTTCATAGACATAAAACTACAAACCTTGATTAAAGTGTTTGGTCCAGTCACATCTTCAAAACGAATAACATAGCCAACTTTATTCCCCAACTCAGTTTCCATCTCTTCACTAACCCTTTTAGCAACGCTCATAGCTGCTACTCACCTTGGTTGAGTGCAACCTACTATGCCATTTGAAGTGTATCTGTCTTCGTGAAGATACTGTGACAAAATCAACATCATACTCGATTTACTTTAAAAAAAAAATATATATATATATATATATATTCACAGCTTTAGTGAAAACAATAGAATAAAATATGGACTAAATAGTGTATCAAATGAGAACCTGCGTAAGTTGGGTTGTCTTTCCCGAACCAGTTTCTCCAACCACCACCACCACCTGATTTTCACGAATTACCTGTTGAATAAATATTTGAGGAAGAATTAGAAAAGCATGATCATAACAAGATGCAAAAGTTAAAAAGAATGCCTAGCAAACTAAGGTAATACAATCGAACTAGAAATTCTAAGTTTACTCAGGAATTCTATGAAATAGAAAAATAAGTTAATTAATTAGAATAATCTAGAGTAAAAAAATAACTAAATAAGAAATAATAAACTATTACGATTCGAGAAGAGGGTAAAAAAGGTATTATAGCGGAAAACTAAAGCAACAAAGTACAAAATAAATATTCGATTGAAGATGGAAATTTGCAAATATATATATATATATATAAGGAGGGAAAGGCAACTTCCAGATGATGTGCAAAAAAACATGGTACTCATAATATACATTCTTTTAAGAGTAAAAAGTGATATTTTTATAAAATACTACGATGTATTTGGACTATGGTATCCCAATTCTGTTTTTCTGTATTGATGTAAACCTCAATCAGAAGAAAATACTCAAAAGAAAAGCATTGCCTACCAGGTGTCCTCCTTGCACCTTCATATCTTCGACGTTTTCCCCCCATATTCTCCAACACGCTCTTGCTCGTATCTATGACGTGACTCTCGTCCATGATAGCACTCCTCATTGCTTCATAAAACCTTTGTCTTGCTTTTGTGCTTTCACTCTTACTATCATCTCTATGATCTCTTGTAACACTCTAATTCTTTTATTATTATTATTATTGAAATTATTATTATTTTTTTATTTTAATTGATTTATTATATAATAATTATATAGTTTTAAATTTAGTTTAATTTAATTAAATAGAAATAAAAATAATAATAATGATAAAAAAAGTAAAATTATTTTTGAGATTTAATTGAATTTTTTTTTGAAAAAAAATGGGTAAAAATTCGGATTCTGAAGGTATTTTTGAAAAGAAAATCGAAAACCGGAGGTCAAAACGTAATTTAAAAAAATTGCACCACGTCAACAGCACTTCAGCTGCCCCAGCCAACCAGGACACGCCGTGTGGCAGAGACGCTGACGCGGGAGGCCACACGGAACGGAGCCACGTGTGCGGTTCGCGTGCGCGCAATCGAACGGCTGAGATCCGTTCCCGCGCATACGGACGACCCAGATCAAAAGCGCGTGCGGACAGCCCAGATTTCACCGTGCGGACGGCCCAGATTGAATCATGCACGGACGGCCCAGATCACATTGCGATGGACGGTCCAGATTCATTTCCAATTTAATCGCGATCGGACGGCCAAGATTAAATCATGATTGACGGCTCAGATTAAAAGGGGAAGGTTATAAATAATCTCATCTACACCCAATCCCAAACCCTAGCCGCCAGAGCCCTCGCCGGAGAAGACAACCCAGCCGCTGGGGGAACCGACCGCCGCCACCCGCCGCCGCACCGGAGCACTTTCCAGCTGCCAAACGAGGTAAAATTTCTCCAATTGACTCGAATTTCGATGCTAAACCCACATGTGGCCAAATTAGAGCTAAACCACCGGCCAATTAGCCGGAAAACGCCGCCGAAGCCCAGCGGCGCTACCGCTGGTTTTCTCAATTTTTGCCACTGATAAGGCCCTTCTCGATTTCCGTTCGATGTAATTTTTACACTATTGTGACCACCGTCCTTTCCTCTACAGGTTGACCGGAGCAAAACGCCAAATCGCGACTCGTGCCGGAGGAGCCGCCGCACCTGAGAGCTCTGCCGCCGGTAAGTCTCAGTTTTCTATATTTTTTGGCCCACCGAGGGCCCTACGTGTGGTTCCTCGCAGGAACTGGTGTTAGTTTGGCTGAATTCGGCCGAAAACGGCCGAAAACAGCCAATCCGAGGCAGATTGCTGCCATGGGCGGTGGCGCCGTCGCTGGAGTACGGCGGAGCCGCCGTGCCAGATTCTGAAATTGGCCGAGGAGGCCCTGGGTCTAATTTAGAGTTTTTTGGGGACATGTGCAGGTACCGGAAGTGTGTTTCAGTTCCCGGAAAAAAATTTATGGAATCTAAGGACTGCTCGTAGGAAAAACTGATTTTAGACTTCGAATCAAGTAAGGATCTCTCACCCTATTTCTTATCACGACATTAAAGTTTAATAAATGATAAAACGGTATTTTATGAATTAATAGATATGTATAATTAATTAAGGTTGCTAATGGAGTCCGAATCTGATATATTTTCGGTCAGTTGCTGTTTGAGTTATTTTACAGTTTTAATTGCATTATGGTATCTGATCTATTTATTTTATGCTTTTGAATGCATGAATAACTATTTACTTCATTATGGCTTGATTTTGTGAATCCGATAATATGCCTGCTTGTTAGATGCTCGTTACTGGTTTAAATATTCATGATTATATGAAGAACAGAAACCTAAGGAAAAATAGAAAAGGTTTGTGAGTTGATAAATGAATAAGTCGACAGCTTCACTAGATATCCTAGGAGATGGTGGACGGAATGGGTCCATAGGAAACCCTACCGGGAACGTTATCTCTCATACCGGATGGGGTATGGAGACTTTAAATATTTTAGTGCTCATACCGGACGGGGTATTGAGGTTTATGGTTTTGACGCCCATACCGAACGGGGTATGGAAACGGCCCTGGAGTTAAGTTATTAAGGTAAATGGTTCACGTTTAGCGGGAACCCCTATGGATCCCCATAAATACTGATAGGCTGATATAAGAGGAAATTTGTTGCTTGATAATTAAAATATTAAAAGTATGACATGTGTTATGTTACAGAGTGCGTATAATTTCATGATATTATAATGTATTATTTTCATAAGTTGTTTTCATGAATTTCATCGAGGTAAGTAGACAGTAAAAGATTTTATTATTGATAAATGAATTTGTTATAAATTATGCTCCATTGGTCGTTTTTATTTTCTACCAACCTTTATTTCTGTGACAGTGAGATAGTGTGATATCTTTACTGTGGTAGTGTAGCTCATTCTTTACTTAAACCATTTCAGATCAGGAGGGCTTGGTTCTCGAGCCCGTTCCGCAGGAAGACGGCGAGTAGATGCCTAAAGATTTTATAGTTTTCCTTATAGTATTCATTTCTAGTATTTACTTTAGTTAGGTTATTTTTTCATACGTTAATACGTTTTGGTTATTGTGTAAAAGATGTTAATCATAATATTTTATTTCGTTTCTGCACTTAAAATTTTTAGATACACGTTTTTTTTTTTATTTCTGGGGCCGTTACAGTTGGTATCAGAGCTGTGTTCCTCAAACTCGTCCTTTACACAATAATATTTAGAGAAATACCAACCAATTAATCGTTACTCAACCATTCCTTGTAAAATGCAGGTGCAAAGAGATGAGGAGAGGAAGACCCCCACTAAACCGAGCAGCCTGGGATGATTCGCTTCGGGAAGATGTGGACAGAATATTTGAGATGCTAGAAATGATCATTGTTGCCCAGCAAGGCCGAGAGGAGAGAAGGGAGTTAACCGACCCTCCCCCACTACCATAAGTTGAGCCACCGCTATAGCGAGCGAATCCCGAGCCACCCCGGCACGAACCTGCTCCTCCACAGTACCCCCCGGCACCACCGCCACAGTATAATTCGGTGCCCCAGCAATAGTACTGCCTGGCATTACCACAGTACAATCCAATGCCCCCATTATATCAGCAGGTGCCACCACAGGGCCTCCCAGTCTATCCTCAGCCCGGCCCAGTCTCTCTTCCACGGGACCCAGCTTCTTCCCTGATTGACTCGGGCTACATAGAGAGGTACATGAGACTTAACTCTTCCACTTTTGCAGGGGAGTCCTCTTTCGAAGATGCCCAGTACTGGTTGGAGGAGATAGAGAAGGCTTTCAAGACCTTAGGAGTGGTTCCCGAGCAGAGGGTTACCCTTACTTCCTATATGCTAGTGGGGGAAGCAAGTCGTTGGTGGGAGCTCAAGCAGACCATCCTGCCTACACCAGTCACTTAGGAGCAGTTCTTAGCAGCCTTTCATGCGGAGTACCTCTCCGATCACATCCGACATCTAAAGGAGATGGAGTTTGTCCAGCTGGTCCAGGAAAACATGACGGTATCGGAATATGCTCGTAAGTTCCTAGAGTTGGGCCGATACTCCCCTGAGACATTGATAGATGAGAGCAGGAAGGCTAGGAGGTTCCAGTGGGGCCTCCGTCCAGAGATCAAGCAGCACTTATTGGTACTAGAGCTCAAGATATATTCAGCTGTTCTGGCAAAGATGCAGATCGTGGAGAGGAGTTTCAACATCCTTCCTCAGTCAGTAGGGAATCACAGACCCTCAGCTCCACCCCGCAGACCAGCACCCACTGCGTCTGTCTAACAAAATAATAGGCTCAGACCGGCGATCCAAGCTCCCCCTCAGGCTCTAGGGGCAGCACGTGGCAAGATCTATCAGCATTGCGGCAGGGATCATGGGGACCGACTATGCTATCGTCTCAACAACACCTGTCGCATATGTGGTAGTGCCCAGCACTATGTGAGAGAGTGCCCGAGGAACCAGAACCAAGAAAGACCTCCTATTCAGGGCAGGGTTTACAACTTCACACAGTAGGATGCCGATGCCGACCCGGATGTGGTACAGGGTATGTACATTATCTGTGATAATATTGCTCATGTTTTATTTGATACTGGTGCATCGCATTCATTTGTTTCACATGTTTTTGTATCCAAACTTAATGTATCACCTGATAAACTTGATTCAATGTTATTTGAGTCTACTGCTGGGGGTGAAACACTATTAGGGAAAGTTGTCTACAGGGCTTCTACCGTGGAGATAACAAATAGGAAACTGAGTGTAGACCTAATAAGGTTAGACACGAGAGATTTTGATGTAATTTTAGGGATAAATTGGCTAGTGGCGTATCACGCCACCATAGATTGCTTTAACAAGAAGGTTGTATTTAATCCTCCTAATGAGGAGCCATTTACAAATTAATAAAATCATTTGATACTTATTCCTTGATGGTAAGTTTTCTTAATTTTCAAGTATTTTAACATTGCTATTTTCTCTAACTAGGCAAGCCCAAGAAGAAAATTTGTATCCAAGAGATTCCGGTAGTCCGAGACTTTCCAGATGTGTTTCCGGATGAACTACCCGGACTGCCAGTGGACAGGGAAGTTGAGTTAACTATAGACCTACAACCAAGCACTCAGCCCATTTCGGTTGCTCCTTACCGCATGAGCCGCGTTGAGATAGAAGAGCTGAGGAAACAGATCATTGAATTGCAAGATAGTGGTTTTATTAGACACAATGTGTCTCTTTGGGGTGCCGAAGTCACTTTTGCCAGGAAGGGAGATAGAACGTTGAGACTGTGTATTGATTACAGAGGATTGAACAAGGTCACAATCAAGAACAAATATCCCCTTCCCAGAATTGATGACCTCTTCGATCATCTGCAGGGTGCGCAGGTCTTCTCAAAAATAGACATGCGATCAGGTTACCATCAGGTGAAAATAAGAACAGAAGACATCCCCAAAATAGCATTTCGAACCAGGTACGGACACTATGAGTTCCTGGTTATGCCATTTGGGCTAACCAATGCCCCGACCATATTTATGGATATGATGAATAGGGTCTTCAGAGAATTCTTGGATCAATTTGTTATCGTGTTCATCGATGACATCTTGGTCAACTCAAAAATCAGAG